GGGGGTGGAGATTGCTTTAGTGCTGTATCCTTTTTCTCACATCTGTAGAGTAACCCTACCTACATCATAATAAAATGTTTATTCACCTGCAATGTTCCTCTGAAACTGCTAGAAAATGTGACTACTCCAGGAAGAGTCCATTCCCCTAGCAGTCCCCTCCCCTGCGCATCATTGCCCTCTCCTCTTCCGCGAGTGATCTAATTACTGTCTGTACTGGCCCAGCTCCTCCACCTGACCACTCTGCTCTCTACATAACTTTCAGGTTCAAGGCTTTTAGATGTCTACACAAGGTCCGATGACAGGGGTCTCTTCAATGTGTATGTAGACCTGAACAATGAACAATTTGGCTTTTCTTTTTGGGTTTGCAAACTATACCATTAAACTGTCTCACATCTGTTCTAAGATCAAAAAAAGCCTTTTGATCCTGCCAGGAATCTTGTGAGCGGAACACTTTCTGTGCTGCACGGTTATTAGTTGCCATTGTTTTCAGTACTTTCTGTGAACTCGCCCCTCATGGAGAATAGGAAAGGGGAGGGAGGTATGCTGTAATAAGGCTTTTGTAAAGGGCAGAATTTAAGAAGTTTGTCTGATCTACTCAATTTCCTAATGGTGCTGAAACGCGTTGCCATCGTCATCGATAGGCCTGTAACGTGCACCAATGCATTAGAGTACAGATGTTACCTTGCACCATTAACACAATGGCCTCACCTGTGTATGTGATGAAGCTGAAGAGCAGACTTTTTTTTTAATATGCCAGATACGTGCTGACCCTGTGCACCTTGTAAGACTTGGGCCCATGAAGATGTTCCCCCTTTAAGCCTGTGCAGGGTTGCGTCCGGGCGTCACCATTCTCTCCCGGGAGTTGAGACTCCCGGACACGTTTCCTTCTCTCCAAGAACGTAGCGGTGGCATGCTTGACGCCACGCTGGCTTCTGTAGCCGTGTACAATCTGCAGAGCGCCCATTCATGTACCAACCCAAGGCAGCCTATGTGAAAGTGCCCCGCAAGAGGTTTAATCTGCTCATATTTCGCATTTCCTGGGTTCTCATTTGCCGCTCATCAACATAACAAACATTTAAAATCCTTTTTCCTTTTCTATTTTGGACTCATCAATGGGTTTGTGTGCTTCTATATGCGATGTAGGTAGATCATGGCTGGTGGGAGGAGCTGGCAGGGAGCTGCACTCAGCCTTTGTAATCCTCGCAGTAATGCAGGCAGTGGGCGGGCTCTTGGGAGGAGATATGCAAATATCAATGCCTGGCTGGGTGGATGTCATTCTGGAGGAGTGGATGTGCCTATGCAGACTGCATTTGCATGCAAGTTTCCCTAGGCAAGGCCCACGTGATGCTGAGCCTCTCAGACTGAAAGAACTGACATTCAATAAGTGAAAGAGGCGGGGCCAGGGGCAGTCAGGCTGGGGGAGTAAGACCTAGATAATGCTGGATGTCCTCCAGCCAGGAAATGAAGCAGGTTCTCTCTTACTTGCAGCTTCTAATGCACATTGTGAGAAGCCCCCAGTGTGCAGTGACATCAGAGGAAGCGAAGAGCCGTTACACCTGTGCAAGGCTGAAGGGAAGGCCGCAGGTCAGCTAGAAGGCTGAAGGGAAGGCCGCGGGTCAGCTAGAAGGCTGAAGGGAAGGCCGCAGGTCAGCTAGAAGGCTGAAGGGAAGGCCGCAGGTCAGCTAAAGCGGCGGATGGAAGGCCGCAGGTCAGCTAGAAGGCTGAAGGGAAGGCCGCAGGTCAGCTAGAAGGCTGAAGGGAAGGCCGCAGGTCAGCTAGAAGGCTGAAGGGAAGGCCGCAGGTCAGCTAGAAGGCTGAAGGGAAGGCCGCAGGTCAGCTAGAAGGCTGAAGGGAAGGCCGCAGGTTAGATATAATGGCTTCTGGTATACTGGCCTCGCACAGTTGTAATGTACCTGTGATTCGAGGGGTTAAAGCCGATGCTGGTGGCATCTGTGCCTGGAACTGAATGTTCTCCTCGTCTCTCGCTGGAATGTCATCTCTGACAGCAGAACTGTCATGCCGGTAGGCGGCACTGCTGGCAAAATGTGTAATTAAATCTCCCACTACAAACCTCAAAGGGGAACCTGTTACCACAAGGAGGGTCACGCGCGGATGGTGATTGATGGGAACGATACATTAGAATAGTTCATCTCAAAGATTTCTTCTTTTTAAAATGTATTTTTTTTCTTTCTTCCAGAACGGCGACGTGTGCATCTCAATCCTTCACCCTCCTGTAGATGATCCACAGAGTGGCGAGTTACCTTCCGAGAGGTGGAACCCCACCCAGAATGTCAGGTGAGGTCTGCAATAGTTGGGAGAGCTCCACACTGAACGGACTTCTTCTCTCCCGGGTGGTGCAGAGTTTAATCGTGTTTACTGCTTTCTGGGGTCCGGACAAGGAGCTCCCAACACCACCGGGCACATGGCAAGGGGAGTTACTCCTGAGCTTATCCTATGGGTACCCAGAGAGACCAGGGTCCAGGACACAGTCCTCACTCTGAAGGGGGAATACCTTGTGCACCCATTAGAATTGGGTTGCTGTTGTGCATTCACAGCAGCAATAGCACCCACATTGTAAAGTTTTTGGATCACTGTGTTAGAAGCACGTATCGGGTACTAATATGTAAAGCTATGTAGAGCTGCAGCTAACGATTATTTTAAAAATCGATTAGTTAGCCGATTATTAAGTTCGATTAATCGGTTAATCGGATAAACAATAAAATAAAGTTTAAAAAATGGCTCCAGTGATAGGACTACTAGTTTGTATTGAGGTTGTAGTCCATCACAGGAGCAAGCTTGGAGCGGTGGAAGTAAAAAAGAAAGAAAAAGATTTGGTGTGGTGTGCAATATAGTGAAATGGAAAGTGTAAAATTATACAGCAATGAATGCAGAATGGCACCGGCTATAGAGGACTACAAAACCCAGCAAAAGCACATTATACAGCGCAATGCAGAACGCCGCCAGCTATAGAGGACTACAACAAATCCCAGCAATAGTACATTATAAAGTGGTACAATGCTAAATACCACCAGCTATACAGGACTACAAAACCCAGCAAAAGCACATTATACAGCGCAATGCAGAATACCGCCAGCTATAGAGGAATACAACAAATCCCAGCAATAGTACATAATAGCTGGCGGTATTCTGCATTGCGCTGTATAATGTACTATTGCTGGGTTTTGTAGTCCTCTATAGCTGGTGGTATTTAGCATTGTCCCCGCGTGCCTTGCCGATCGTGGATGGGCAGGAAATGTGAGGCGGGGAGGAGGTGCGGCTGGTGGAGCGTGGATGCGAGCGGGTCTGGCAGCGGCGAGGGTGAGGTGGGGAGGAGGTGCGGCGCACAGCGTGTGGAGCTGTGAACAGGGCCAACTGATCGGAAGCCGATTAATCGATTATTGAAAAAGTTGTCAACTTTTTCAATAATCGATTATGTCGATTAGTTGTTGCAGCCCTAAAGCTATGACTTCCCCTTGAAGTGGCGAATGTTGTACAGGCAAAGTAACTGGTTACGTTTACTGTACTGACCTTTTTAGAGTAGACATTGCCCACATGGAGTAAATGAGCTTTAAAACAAACCTTCACTGACCTGTAGCTGCAGACACTGCGGAGGAATTAATCTTCAAAGTTCACAAGAGAAGCAATGAAGTCTTTGGTTCCAGGGGTGTCAGGATGCCTGGTTCCTTCTATCGGCCTCTGTGGAGGAATTCCTCTTCAAAGTTCACAAGAAGCAGTGATGTCTTTGGTCGGGTCTCGGCACTCGGCTTTCCTTTCTTCCCGTGCATGTGTTTTGTATTTACAATGAGATCAGAATGAGGATTAACTGCCCAGACGCTGCTGGGAGGAGGGAGCTAAGGCATGGAACTCAAGTCAGACATGTAACCTAAACGCAAAGCGCTCAGCACACCCCTATCATGCGTCCCCGCAATCCACACTCGGTGCACGCATGACTCTCTTCTGGAGTGATGGGCTCAAACTGTAGAACCAGCACACAATCTTCCAAAGGAATTAAAACTTTATTCCACATGCGTCTATACAAAGAACAGACATGTGCCTCTTACAATTGTTACTGAAACATAAATTCCTGTTGTCAAAGTAATCGATCTTCCACATTTCCACTAAAAGATTTTCGGGGTCATTATCCTGGCGCACGCAGTCTTCTGCTGCCTGTAAATGGTGCCGGAGCTCTCAATGGCGTCCTGCTATACACATTGGCACTAGGTGAAGCTCTTGCATGAGTTCCCCTCACGATGAAGTGCTCATGGGATATTACTAACAGTGTTAAAACACAAAAACAAAAAACAAAAACAAAAAAAAACAAAAAAAATGCTTTTATGTATTATTAGTCACTTCTTAGGCCTGCACAGTTATCACATGCTTTTTATTTGTTTTCGAGATGGTTGGAAGAACACTTCCTCCACTTACTGTCCTGAATATGTACTGCATTAGGGCTCTCTCCTATAGAGGTATGCTTCTATATATGACTACTTCTTCCAGTTATGGCACTTGCTAATTACTTATTAAGGCTGCAATTTCACTTAATTTTGACTTCTTCCCTATACCTGGAACACTGCTTTATAACAATATAACATACCATTTACCTTATATATACTGATTTTGTTTATGTATTTATAGCAAGATTTTATTTTCTATATGTCTGTATCTATGTTGTATTATTTTTGTTATTATGTTCTATTGACAAAACCTAATAAATTCATTGTTAAAAAAAAAAAAGTAGTTACCAGTGGCAGCTTCTGGTTGGTGCACTTAGGTTATACGGTGCACTGTAATGGTTCCCAAAAGTGTTTTATAGTCTTTTTTGTTTTGTTCAGCTTTAAAAGCACTTTCTGTTCTGAGGCTGAATTACTCCGCAGTGCCTTCAGCTACAGAAATCAGTGAGGACTTTTTTTTTTTTTAAGAATTGGTTAATTTTGACTGTCCATATCCTGACTAACTTTTAGAGCATTTCTTTATCTTACCCCTACTGCCCCAATCCTCTTAGCTTCTTCCTGCTATTGGGGAGCACATGGTACTCTACACAATGCAGTGCTGGGTTCATGAGGACTTTTATGTGTACCTGGGGGGAATGGTGCATAGCTCTTCATAATCTTCAATTTTCTCAGCTGATCGAAAATCACTCTGAGCCCGGGCGGCCGTGGGGTGGCACAGGAATAGTGGAAAATAATATTCATTTACATAGCGCCAACATTTTGCGCATCGCTTTACAACATAAGGAAGACATTACAATTCAAGACGAAATGGTAAGGAGGGCCCTTACAATCTCTAAAAGGGAGGGGCCTGTGATACATGAACGTATTGCATTA